TCATTCAAGCTATATTTCAAATGGCAGAGTAGAATTCTCTTCTCCTTGCGCTTCTCCAAACTTTGTAAAAAAGAATTTGCGCACCAGCTGTCACTTTGTACTGCACCTGACGAAAGACTGTACACGTTCATAACTATTCGAATAATTTGTGATGCGATTCCATATTGTTTACCACAAAACATCTTTCAAAACTGAATCAAGCAGTTTGTTAAAAGTTCTATTATGGTCGGCTTACTCTACAATCGCCTTTTGGATTCCTACAAATTTTTTTCAGATATTAGAACCAAGCCAATATTTCACTAAAATTGGCATTGAGCATAAACCATGACTGTGTTGCTATAGGCCTTTAGAGGGGAACATAATAACATTTATATTTGGTTGACAAATATAAATTAACGCAGTTATTTAAAAATAAGCATAGTGTCATGCATTAATTTCCCAAAAATTTTATCGTCAGCCAATGTTTCGCAAAATATCTCTGCTAAACTTTAGCCCGTTTTTTCTTACTTCGTGTGTACTTAATAAAACGTAGCAGAAAGCAAATGCTGGATCTTCGAACCACTTTTGTTTTCAAGAACATTCCTCGCCGCATCAGCACACAATTGCTGCAAAGTCAAGCGGCTAGTATACATTTGTTGGGAGTAACAGTTACCGACAACAACGCAGAAAGTCTGCACAAAAATGTGCAAAAGCAAATTTTGGTAAAATACAGTCAGGGGTATAAATAGAGTGTAAGTCAAGTAAATAATGTAAAGTCAGGGGTATAAATATTCGAGACAGTTCGTCACTGTTTGTGGATAGTTTCAACGTGTTCGGGCCGTCCGTCGATAATCGTAAACATGGCCTCTGCAACTTCATTACTGCATGCAATGAGGCTAGGGTGAATATCAGTCTTGCACAAACCAACAGTTTTGTACTTTCGAAAAAGTCATTCGTTACCTTACAAAATGCTGCTGGTGCGACGATAGGCTATTGGACTATCGTGTGTCAGTAAGTTTGCCGAGGCATGAAATAGAACGTTTCAACAGACGATTGGTCATCATTAAAGGACAATGTACCGAAGAACCTGTATTGAATGGGGTTTTACTGAGATCTTCAATGAACTTTAACTTGTTGGGGCACGGTGGCACAGTGACAAAGAGTTCGGCTTCGAACTTTGGAGGTGCCGGGCTGAAGATCTTTATTAAAATTAAGCGATCTTTATCCTAACCGCAAATTCTGTTGAGCAACAAGTTTATTACACGATGTTTCGGTGCAACTATCTCAGGAATAGACAAGAATCGCTAATTTGCGAATAATACTGACAGTGTGATATTCTGGCGTGATCACATTAGAATAGGCGAGAGGAATTTTTTCTGGTGCTAAACATTTAAAATGACTTCAATACTCTTTGACTCACTGCTTATTCAATGTGAGAACCAATAGAAGTTGTAATCCCTGTTGTTGCTTCAGATATTAAAACCATGAAAAATCAAAAAATATAGCACTGATTGCAAGTAAATGACTACAAAGCTGAATTCCATGAAACGAATTCAATTACTAAATTTTCTATATTAAACATAAAATTTTTTATCTAACCGCATAATATGAAATGATTATGCAGACTTCCAAGTTGAACTTAGCAACTTAGTGCATGTGCAAAACTAAATTGATTTGTATAATGATTTATTCCATCAAAATGAAATATAACCGTCAAAATACAATCCAACATCGAGTTTAACCATGATGCGCTTTTAACACGTAACAAGGAATAATATTTTGACCAACCACATTAGTCTCAGGTATAATATAATAAAATGCACAAAGTTGAACACAGATATTAATGATCAGCAGGTTTTATGCAATTGCTGTAGATGACGTACCTAACAGCTGGTATCACTGGAATAGGCAAAAGTATGCGTGGCTGAGTTCCCTATTTAAATAGGGCGGAATCAATTATTTGTACTTTTTGTTTCAGTAACTAACGCCAGATTATCATCATAATCAAAAATTGGTACTCTTTCATTGCCGTTTATCCTGTATAGTTGCATATTAGAATGTTCATTCAGTGCAGCATGGGATTCGTCGCCTTTTTAAACGCTTTCAGATGTTGTTTTAAATGGACT